ATATTCTAAACTTCACAACCCTTTAAATTACAAAGATTCAAGATAGAGAGAGTTGTGAAGGGTAGATTTATTAATTTTGTTGTCTATTTTTTTCAAAAAAAATTTACTTTTATGGGGGCAAATTTGTAAATATTACTACATGACAAAGGGTAATTTTGTCATCTCTATAAGGGGTAAAATTGAAATTTTAACAAAAAGACAAAGGCACTCTACAAATAAAATTTCAGGACATTGACTTCCAAAATGCCATTGTATTTTTGTGAAAATTTCAAATTTGACATTGCTTAATGGTAAGGTTGCCTATTTAAATAATTTTTTAATAAAAAAGTAATGACTATTTTGATAAATACACCCATCACAACCCCTTCTAACTTGAATCTTTGTTTTTTGAGAAGTTGTAAACTCTAGGCAATATATATATGGAAGATACTACAAAACGCCTATAGGAAAAAATAAACAGTGATGTTGCCTACCCTCATCACCGTCAAAAGTTCATCGCATGGTCACGATTGTTCGGTAGCATTTTATTTTTCATTGTTTTTATACAAATCGGAATGACCTGAAATTTGGAGTGTGTGTTCATCAAAAATAGGCGAATCTACAAAAAATATCAAAAAAATATTTTACATGAAAAATATTGACCAAAGTGTTTTGGGGATATTTTGGTAAAAAAAAATTAGCAAATTATTTTTTATATTTTTATTAGGTGCGTCTCACTAAGATGTACACACACTCCAAATTTCAGATCATTCCGATTTGTAGAAAAAAATGAAAAATAAAAAACTACCAGACAATCGTTACTGTGCGATGAACTTTAGACGATGATGAGAGTATGCGAAATCACTGTTCATTTTCACTTATAGGCGTTGGGAAGAATTTTTCTATATATATATATACACACACACATTAATACAAATAGAGACTTTTGTTCAGAGAAACTTGTAACGATATCACGGTGTCAGAGCCAGAAATCGTTTTGTCTATTTCTCAAGTTCGTTGATCAGTTGTCACATGAGCCAGTCCTATTTGGTCTTGGTTCTTACCGTTCCTAGCCCCGATTCACGTTATCCCTGAGCCAATGAGGTTGCCGAATTGGTCTTAGATATTAGCTATCCAAGCTTCTATTCTACTACGCATCTCGAAATGAATTAGCCTCTCACCACCTAGAAGTTCTAGCCATGGTTCGAGTGTGCTGTTGTCTTATTTTCAATGATTGTCTTGATCAGTTTCTTGATTGTTGCTCCTTTTCCCCGGCCAGTTTGCTCTTTGCTACCATTTGGCCGATTAAAGTTCTTGACCGATTAAGATTCATTGGTTTGTTATCATTGTCCAAGTCTACAAGTTGCTATTTTCTCTTCATCCTCCTCTTTTATAGTATGCAACTTCATACAACTCTTCTCATTCTCAAGCCCATATCTTGATAACTATTCTAGATTTTATATCACCCCTTCCACTTTGCTACCATTAGACCTGTTTATGTTCTCGGACGAAACTATCATAACAATACATTCCGCTTTACTTTTCTGAATGCTGTGTATTGAAAGCAATCACTTCACTTCTTCTCCCAATGCATTCTGTTATCAGGTTCTCCCTATAGCCTACCGATTTATGTTTCTCCCAATGCATTATGTTTTCAGGTTCTCCCTATAGCCTACCCATTTATGTAACTGTTTTCGTATTCTAGTTGTCTCTTCAAACGGAGATTACCAAGTTTTAGCAGTTTTAAGAGATCTCATCGTGAAATTGTCGTGAACTAATTTCATTGAGACACCGTTTGACTGGTAGATCGAATAGTAGTTTGGGCCAATTTTAAAGATTTGTCAATAACAATGAATGTCAAGAGGTGTTTGATTGGCAAATTTGAGTTAGGTCCCAGCTGCAATTTGGCTCCGAAATTGAGATCCTTGCAAAATTTAAATCGTTTTGCAGAAAATTCAATGAGGCTCTTTCCTCTCTCCCCTCGCCACCACCCAGTGTCACCACCTCTATCACCATTGTTACCACCACCACTGCCTAACCACAACTACTGTACCAGTCACTCCACCACCACTACTATCACGCCACTACCACCACTTCTATTGCCATCATCACCACCATTGTCGCTGTCGCTGCCACTGCCACCAGTACCAGATCCTAGCTGTCACTACCACCATCACCATACCAATCCCTCCACTACCACCACCACTCGCCCATGATCACCACGACTACCACTCTACCACCACTACTTCTCCACCTGGCCACCACCATTAGGTCACCACCACCACTCTGCCACCGCCACTGATCTGCGACCACCATTGCCCCACATTACAGCTCCCGCCAACACCTATCAGCCACCACCCTCCCCCCCCCTCCCCCCCCCATTGCCACCATTACCACCACCGCACGACGATGATGGCGACCGCAACTACTATTGCCAACTCCACTACTACTTCCAACACCAAGCTGCCACTGCTATCACATCAGTACCACTTCCACAAATACAACATAATAACAATTTATGGTTAAAATTAAGAAAATAAAACACCCATATAGAGCAAATGACAATTAACCAAAGTATCATTCGGTCAAGAACAAGTTGACAAAAACAGCATTTCAGAAAATATTTGATCAAGTGGTCCCTAAGAGTTTGCTGCCTTCTCAGATTTAAGGTTTCAAGTTTGATTATTCCTTCTAGCCTGTGCTCTTTGGACGAGGTATGGATTCTACTACTCTTTTTGAGCGCATCCTTTATAATATAATCTGGTGGCTTCCTCTAACATAGTTCAACCCATCACTACTAAATTGGACATGGTGAATTACAGTCATTGCTTTTACCTCATGAGAAATTTCCTTTAGGAGAAAAAGATTACGGACGCATGTTATTATGGACAGATTGTACCCAAAGCATTGATGCATTGAAAAACAGTGACTTGAACTAAGTTAAGACTGAGCAATAAACAATTTTAAATCGGTCTCCAGCCCTACTATACCCTCAATCAATGTGCAACTTTGAAAGTTTGAAACTACCAAAGAGAGGTCTGTCCATCCCTGTATGTCCCAACTAATTTCCTTTGGAAATAAATTTGAGATAGATATCCAAGCCACGAGGCACAGGAAATGAAAATCAATTTCTAACATTCATTCCCAATTTGGACCACCTGATCCAACAGGTCAAATTGCCAACTGGTGCCTTGACACATATGATCTAAAAGAAAAACATTCAGTCGAAAACAAATCAAAATCAACGTCTGACGAATTTTAGCGCCAATCTAGTTTTGACAAACTATACTTGAAAAAGTTGGGGAAACAATTTGTTTAATAAATGTTCCATGTTTTTAAACTACTATCCGATCTATTATTTATTTTTCCAATATCTGATTCAACTGGTTCAACCACTAACAAGGCCAATTCTTACTGCACCAACATCCTCAATAGTTGCTGAACCAGTCCTATCATTTAACACTAGTTTAATGGTTTGTATTATTAATCACTGGTAAACAAGCTAAACGTCCATGCTCAACATGCCATACCTCCACTCTCCACTCCACTCTCTCTCCAAACTAGCAATATTCATACCAGAGAGACTATAAATTTGTGAGACATACCCAGCAGATGAACAACTCCACTTTATTCCAATAAAACACTAAAAGTAAGTACACAGCTAAAATGCCGAAGGCCCCAGGGCCAGGATAACCGTTGGCATGGGCACAGGTTCTTATTAGAGCCCCAGAATACACACTCTTTTAGCATCTACATATTACACCCACCCTACTCCCTCACACCAACCCCAACAAACTCGCACCACCCAAAAACTCAAACAGCACATTCATCACACCCCAACTTACTCCAACGGCTCCACAACCCAACACACTTACATAAGAAAGAGAACCACCCCAGAGGTGGATCCAAGTGAGAGGGAGAAATGGTGACAGTTAAGAGAGAGGATTCATAGGTAGATAAGGTAGATTTGGAAGCTAGTCATAGGAAGAGTCTACAAGTCGATTCCAAGGCCAATGATAGGGGGGAGAGTTAAGAGGACATCAAAGGTTGATAAGCAGGCTGGTAATAGATAGGGTGAAGAGACAATAGCTATGGGTGAACTTGGAGGCTAGAGGGAGATGATAACCCTTAGACATTGATTTGAAGGTTCCATCTGTACATTTCCTTGTCAGGAGTTGGGATCCTAAGAGTAAGAAGACCATTCGGGGCATCGTACTCAAATAGGGTGTCAACAGAGTCCACTTTGCATCCAAGAGGCTTCTGGGAGCAGTAGGCCCCGAACCGCCCGCACCCTCTCACCGTCATGGTCACCACTGCTGCCTCTGTCCGCCCCTCGCTCAGAGGGCTCACTGCCATGCCCAAGTCTGCCACCTCCCCATCAAATTGCTCACTTCCTTCTAGTTTCTTAACATCCACTTGCTCGACTGCCCCTCCTGAGTTGAACATGTCCAACAGCCCAAATGGTGCGAACCATGTGTTTGGTGCTATCTCCTGTATATAGACATAGGTCAGCTAGAAATGAAGAAGCAATAGGAGGGAGAAGCACCCTAAAAGAAATATGAGAACTATAAATCATGGGGAAGTATGCTATGATAGATGCCAATGTTAAGAATAGAATTTTGTATGAACCTTTAGGGGACAGATGTGGTAGAGCTCATATTCAAGGACGTTGAGGGTGACTGGAATAGTAGCTCCTTTTGGCAGACGGATCACCTCCCCTGCAATATAGAACACACAATTTTAAATCAATGAGAGGATTATGTAGAGCATAAAATCATAATCATACTACCGAACCCGATGGTAGATATTACATCCACCAGACTTCAAATTACTTGAATTCAATTTCAGTATGGACTTCATCGAAATCATATCCCAATCTCAAATCTCTTCTCTCAAATATTGATGCAATAGAAGAAGTCCTATATTCTAAGCCTTCTCATACAGTAACCATTCAAGGATGATCTCCACTGTCCGTTGATCTTGATTCAAGCTTAACTTAGCTTCTTTAAAAAATTGGTGCAATAAAGGAAGAGCTATATTCAAAGCCTTCTCATATAGAAACCATGCCAGGATGGTCTACTGTCTATTGATCTAAAATCTTGATTCAAACTTAACTTAGGTAGAGACAACTTCCTTATAGCTCGAGGTTTTCGTAATTGGGTATGAATGAACAACCTTGATTTCATAAAAAAGAAATAGAAGACTTACCACTCTTGTGTGCATAAACCACAGCCTCGCCATTCCAGTCAGGGCCAGCAATTTGGGAAATGAGATCAACATCGCGAGTACGCACAGTGCCAGTGAGGGTGACAGGGGTGGAGTCATGGATACGAACCTTCTTTTCCACCTTGCACCACCCTGCACCCTGGCAATTGAACACACCCACCACGCCCGTGCACTTGTTCATGTTCCACACCTTAAGCAGGCTGTATGGACATAAATTCATGAGAACACAGTCAATATTTATAGAACACCTAAACAAATTGGGAATGACCATACACGGATTCTACATGTGAAAGAAGGGGAACTTGGGATGTAAATTATGATCCATATAATCACAGAAAAGCTATGGACATAATTGTTATCACCATCAAATGATGGAAGGTAATTGAGAGGTTTCTACCACTGGGGTCATCTTCATGTTCTTGTGGGTCCGACTCTCTCAAAATAACCGTATATAAATTATTTGGATGATGAGAGCAAGCATGAATATAGCTTTCTACGGTTATATGATCACCATATAGTTTCCCATGAAAGCATAGAACTATTGGTTGTCAGTTTGATTGTGATCTCATCATAGTTGTCAGATGTCTGATGAGAACCAATCGGATTGTAAATTTCCTGTTTCAAATTGAGCAGCTGACAACCAGCAGTGTGTTTTCCCATATGCTGTATACTTTTACTAAGCAACATATTTTGCCTTAGACATATGGTAGTGGTGGGAAGAAGGCTGACCTTGTTCCATCACGAGCTGGGTCATGGAAGATGCAGTCTCGGGTCGGTCTTCCTGGTAACTGGGCTCGCAAGACAGAGCCATCAGGAAGGACCAACTTCTTTAAAAGGTCAAAGTTATGAATGCCTGGCTTGTCACTGAAAGTCAACCACAACTATGGCTTAATTTCAACACTCAAGAAAGGAAGTAGTTCACTGGAATCATGTTGGAAATTATACGTGAGGGGTAAGAAGGGTGTGTTACCTGACATATATGGCACAGCCTCCCACTGCCCGAGCTGCACCATGGTATTCAGCTGCTGGATGTTGACTCTGCAACCACAAAAGAGACCAACCAACCAAGTTATTATTTTATCCGTATCACTACATGGTCATTGGGACAATCCATGACTAGTACCTGCTAGTTAAATGTCTTCAATAGCCTGCCATTATGGAGCTGTCTCGTAAACACACCCACTCTTTATCTCTCACCCTGCCCCTCTATGTGTTTGTGTCTATGTGCGTGTGTGTGCATTGAAAGAGAGCAAGAGAGAGGACGCGTGTTGCATTCCTTTGCGACCACATCAAGCACTAAATACCCAAGATAAACAGGTGCTATAATTAAGTAAGAGATAATTAAAACAATGTGAAATAGCTCGAAAAATGCTAATTGACACCATGGAAACTAAGAAGGGTGAGAAATACTCACATGGAACATGTCCCAGTCAGGCTGCATGAATTCACCAAGAAAGAGGGTGTTGTAGGCGACAGAGGAGATGTGGATGGTGTGAGAAGCAGGGTCTCTTGGGTAGAAGTCATCAGATGCTCTCACCACAGCTGTCTGTTTAGCACTGCATATCAAATAACAGCGCAAATCAGAACATATCCCTTGAAGGGCATAAAACATTTAAATCGAAACTTTCAGAAAGCATTCATGGCATTTACCTGACCTTACAGTATTGGAATTGCATCCACCAAAAGACAAATGAATGTAAAAACATCTCAAACATATAGAAAAGGAATGAATTGATCGCAAAAATGGATGGCTGGTTCTTCTTTGTAATCTCAATTCATTATAAGTTAGGTTTTATTTTTCTTTTAGATACTCAGCTGGGGTAATGCAATGTAATATAACAATGTGTTTGTGTGCTTATGTTTGATTGCATGTAAGAAGGGGGGATGGGTGGGGGGAGGGGGGAGGGGGTGGGGGGGAGAAAGAGTTATTACCTGTAGATACCATCAGTGTTGTGGCACATGCACGAAATGCATCCATTATCTGTGAAGTTTCGGGAGATGGAAGCCTCCAGTGCCTGGTGGTAGGCACGAGTGAGAGATACTCGGCCCCCATGACCAGCCCCAAGAGTCTCAATGATATTTTGCACATCAACCTTCACTCCATCAACACCACAAGAAGCAAGGTAGGAGTGCAGCTCGTTGTAGAAGTTGAAGACCGTCTTAGGAGGCACCAAACCCAAACCATAGACAGAGAGGCTATCCATCACAATGTCAGGTTGGTTACCCATCACACCAGGAGACTGAACTGGGTAAGCCAATGTAGTCTCATAGTGTTCCATTCCAGCTGCTGCTGGCTTCACTCCACCCCAGTAACCAGCCAATGCATGCCACACATAGACATACCTGTTCAGTTAGCCAAAGCAATATAGTTGTAAGGAATTTTATTTTTCATGTTCATATGGGTGTGCATTTCTTTTGCCCTTTCCTCTTTCTCAAGGATTGTGGATAGGTTTTATGGGGATCTTTACATGATATATACTCAAAAGAAGACGAGTTCAAAGAAATTCACCAAACATTTTGTAAGACTCGTGTGCTCATTAATACAATCAGGTTTTCTGTTATGTGAATTAGTCAAAAATTCTATCTTGCAATTTTAATATTTTGGATTTCAGAATGGTATTTAGGGCCCTCCAATCTAGACCACCCCTGGTAAAATCTAAATAGGGAAAGAGAACTCAAGCCGTTGGGCATATTAAAAATAAAATTGACCACTCAATGCCAAGTAATAACAGACACAAGAGGAAGAACCACTTACTTTACATCGTGGTGTCGTTTAGCATCCTCAACCACCAGCTTTAGGCCTGGGACCTGGTCATTCTTACCATTCTTTTGGAATTTGTGGTTTTCCTTTATCCCAGTCAGTCTGCTGGCAAACCTGTACCAAGTCATTAGAAATGGAAAAACCCATGAGTCAATCGATAATACAAATATAGAACCAACTTAATTTTCTTAGTAACTTAATGTAAAGGGGATTATTGATCAAGAGAAATTAAGCAATCACTTTGCAGGCTTCTTTTCTCTCCGTTTCTTCTGGGAGGTAATTAAACCAGTTTTATTCTTTAATCTTTTTACTTCTTCTAAAAGCATATGAAATAGCAAAGCACTTACTGGGCTCCTTCCTGGACAACGACATTAGCGTCTTTCACTTCATTCCCAATTTGTTGCCACCCATCATCGATTATCAGGAAACGAGAAGGAGTACCTCCCTCCGCAAGGCTGGACAATCACCAAGCAAATTTTAACTTTACAAAAATGAAGTGATGAAAATATACCAAAATTGGAAACAAAACTAAAGTAGGTCCAAGCCCAGCCCTGACCAAAATTTAATGTCGAGCATTGGGCCCATGTTACCAAAACTAAGGATTTAGTTAGGGCAATTCAGCCTGGCCCAACCCATTGAAATCATAAAATCTCAAGCCTAACCACACATTTCTTTTTTAAGAGGCTTAGCCAAAATAAATAAATAATAAGCTTGTGAAAGGCTTTGGAATGTTTTAGTCGTTCATAGAATAGTTCTCCAAGTGAACCCTATGTCTCCTAGGTGAATTACAGTTACCTTTTGAGGCCTTCCTCCACACCTTCAGCTGTCACGTCTGTGTAGAAGGCATCCCAAGTGCACCACCCAAACCAATCCAGAAAAGAAGGCAGCTGCAATAAACACCTTTAGCGAGAAAAGAAAGAAGGTTAAAGGTGATAGATAGAGACGGTTGGTCTGTTAATTTACCTTTTTCTTCTCCCTGTGGAGGAATGTTTGCATGTGCTTTTCAACAGCCCTAAAAAAAAAACCAAAGGAATCATCAGCCATCTCAATCATAACCCCAGTGAGCTTGGCTCACTTGATCATTCTCCTACATTTTAAACGTAGAGAAATGGAATAGGAAATATAGTATTGTAAACACACAAAACATTGAGACATGTTAAACGAAGAGTACTTACTTCACTGCATGGTTGATGACCTCAAAGGGATTGGTACCTGCGTGCATGTAGACCATGTGAAGTCCCTGAGAGGTCCTCACCTCTTTGTCCCCTGCAATTTCGCAACGCAACATCAAACATAAGCGTCCTTCCTCAAAGAGGGCCACAATTTCCGGCAACTTATGCCTTGCCACAACCAAATTAATCAAAGACAGGGAAAGGAGAGGAAAAAGGAAAACGGAGCGAGAGAAAAGAGAGGGAGGGAGGGAGGGAAGGGGACGAAGGGGGGGGGGGGAGAAGAGAGAGAGTAAAAGAGATAGAGAGGGCTTACCACTCTCAAAGCAAATCTCGAGCTCATTCTTGTCGTTGCCTTGGAGGGCTGCACGGAACTGGCCCTCAAGCAGGGGAAGAAAAACTGTGTAGATGGTCAGCTCCTCAGAGGCACCCACATCCATGTCCTCGCTCAGCGGGGTGCCATCCTTGCTTTCAACAAGCATGAATTGTGTTTCCAACGGCACGTCCTTCCCACACATACCCATCCTATGTGTCATCCACCATAGCTTGAATCGGAAGCAGCACATAAACCTCAGTCCCCTGTCAAATTTAACCAACACACCAAATAACGGTCATTGGATTTGAAGATATTTCAGTTGGAAGTCAAATGATATGAGATGCCCAAGTTTTCATCCAATATATCGGTGCAGTGTAAACTAAAGGGGTTGGATTAATGCTCTGTTGGATGGATGGTGGGTTAATGGTATGTTCATGGGCAAAGCATAAAGACCCGTCTATTTAACCGTTATAGCAGTTGATTGAGTGTGATTAACGTAAGTGTCGAAACACTTCTGTCGCTTTAGGACTCGGAGATCACATCTCTTTTAAACCTGGGAATTCAAATTGCAATTTCTAGACTACTACACATCTCCTAGCATTTCTAAACTGTTACAGTTGTACCCTTCTCTAACTTTCAACTAATATCTGTACAATGAAAATGCCGCTTCACTTTCAGAATACTTATTTTTGAAAAATTTATATCTAATATTTATTTTTGAAAATATTTATATGAGGTGGCAATCTTATACTACAGTAAGGTCTGCCTCAAACCTCCAAATATTTGTACCGGTGGAAAATTTTCCAATTTATCATCCCCGCCTCGAGATACATGGATAACCTTGTTTGGACTATCTATTTTCAAGATTTTCGAGTATTTATCGATACACTCAATTTACATCATTTTTTAAGCTTTAAATTCATAACCAAGGGTGGAATCAGATTCTCAGGCTATAAGAGTTTTCAATACCAAAACTGTATCTTCTAGCAAGGTTTGGAAGTGCATTGACTCTAATTCTTTAATGTTGATGCCTTATACAAGATGCACCTCCCATTAATTTTAGGTTTTTATACTTTACTCAATGTTTATACTTTACTCAATGTTTAAAAATAAGACAGGTGGATCGAACAGGTCATCCACTGGGTATGAGCTGGATCTATCGACTCAACGAGTACACTAAGCAGACTCAAAATTCAAATCTCACCCAAGGTTTAGGATTCTTAAACCAATCCACAACCTGATGATGTTGGCTACTCAGACGAGTACCCTACTAGTTCTTACTTGGAAATCCTCCCAACAGGATCTCATTAACAGTAGGTTACGAATGAAAACGTCCAAAACCAATAGTTATGGCTTAAGGGAAAACATATTTAACCGTGCAATAGATTAAGAGGCTCAAACATTGATCGGCGTCTCTAGCCGTAACGACAACACCTTGTAACCAACAACAAATTATAGGCAAATAAAGCTGGCAAACGCTGGGATGCCTGCCTACCATTTCTCTACAAGGGTCAAAAGCAAGATAGACCCGCACACTAGTTGCGGGACCATACAAATCCCATTTAACTTAAGGTCACAGCAAGACAAATGCAATAGCAATCACTAACAAATGCTGAAAGTTTCATGTATCAATTTCCAACCTAATAATTAGGCCCTCAATTTTCCATTTTGGGTTTTAAATGTAATCCATTGAAAGATAAAAAACATGAATATCAGAGTTTTCATAAGAAGGGTATAAGAGAGACGTACTCTAGGATCCCGACAGGGAAGACATGGTGGCTGTCGCTCTCTTGAGACGTGGCACCAATGAAAGCCCCAGCAAGGCCGGACCCCGGGGTAATCACGATGTTGTCTGGTACACCCGTGAGGATGGTCTTCCCATGAACCATCAGGTTCCCATCGTTGATGTATATCTTTGGAATTACCGTCATCTTGGAATATCTGCTCAAGGAAGGGAAAAAAAACTTATTAGTTTCTCAATAAAATAAATTAATAAATAAACAATAAAAGCAAAAGCATGAAGACATGGCTAACGAAAGTATGAAGAAATTGCTGAAAAAAACCATAAAGAAAAAATAATTAAAAATAACAACTGAAACAAGAATACACGAGCAACCCAACGAACGAAGGGAGAGAAAGAGATGTGTTTTCAGTTTTGGTCTGACAAATGGGAACCATTAGAGGGCGTGGTAATAGAAGTGAAGATAGAGGATAGAGAGAGAGAGGGGGCCATGTGCTTTCAGTTTTGGTCTGACAAATGGGAACCATTCTCACACGTTAAAACTTAGGATTTATCGGTAAACATTAATCGTGCCCCATCGATGGATGTCCTAGTGGTGTGTCATATACCATACACGATCTTGAATACTTTCCTTTCCATCTTGCTTGCCTAAAAACACTTTCCTATTTCATCAAATAAATTTTAAAAAAAATTTATATAAGGTTGTAACTTTAAAATGTATATTTAAGCTGCCTCCCAAAAATCCATTGAAGAGGTTGTTTTAATGTTGAAGAACTCCTTAATTAATCATCTCAACATCAAGATGTATGAATATGAAAAAATAAAAATAAAAAATTTGAGAGTACCAAAAAATAGTGCATCTTTTAATACATAATCTCGACCATCCATTTTCAAGATTTTCACATATATATGGATCTACTTAGTTTGAACTAATTTTATAGTTTAAAATTTTTATAATTGGAGACAAAAATGTTTTCTCAGACCATCCTAAGAACTTTTTTCACCAAAATTCTTAAAGGTAAACCTTAATTTGATTTTTTACGTTGATGATTTAAAGTTGCAACTAAACAGCGCTTTACTCGTAAAAACCAAATAGATGGAGAAAAGAAAGACAAATGACCCTGAACTTCTTAGAAATGACCCCAAGAAAGACCCCTTTTTCCTCCAAACACGACCGTGGCAACTCTTGTCAAAGTAATGCTCCACACCTGAAAATTTTCCCGCTCTTTTTAAGTTATAAGATTATTTCCCTGACGCTAACAATAGAATTAGGAAAAGAAAAAAAAAAGCAAATTTCCCGTTTTCCATGGTGGGCAAACCTTACAAAAAGCGAAAGTTTATTTTCTTGGTTCTCTCACTAAACGATAAAAAGAAGAAGACGAAAGGAGTTTTTGGCTGCAGGGACTTTCGTCAGCAAAGACGTCTAAAAAGACACCAGTATCGGGCAGGAGATCTTAGAGTCATCTCTTCGCCTTTTCCCAAATAGTAACCCAACAATTTATTGAATAATACCATGAAGGTCCCAACAATTCTCCATAGCTTCACAGGGTTATAATGGTCATATCAGAAAAGTAAGGGGCGATTTTAGGCAACAAGAAAAGAAAAGCCTTTCAAAGATTCCAGATTTTACGCGAGAAACGTCTTTCCTTCTTTTTTCTGTTTAACCTTTTCACTTCATTTTTGGCGTCTCAAAATTGATGAGACGTCACGCTGGACTACGAGATCCCAACAAGAAGAACACAAGTCTTAATGTGTTTGTTTTTTCGAATCTGAGCAACGTCTCATTCCGTTGGGAAGCTATTGTAAGAAAATGAGATAAGGCAGATGAACAAAAATCCTCCGAGTGGCGATCAGCTGTAGAAGACGATGTAAAAAAAACTCGCATATATCCCAAAATTACTTAGCAACTCAAAAAATTACTGAAATAAAGACATGATTTCAGGCCAAGCGCCAAACTCATCCGGATTTTCACAACCTCCAAAGCACGTACGATCCACAATTCTAGATTGACTGGAGATCTCAAAAAATTTCGCAACAAAAATGAAATACACGATCGATCTAATGATCAGTTATTTACACACACAACAAAAAAGGAGAAGGATGTTACATGGAACATAATTATTCACCCCAAAATATTAGGAAAACTGTAACATCTCCAGAATTGTGGCATAAAGCAGCAAAACTAGATTAATCGAGAGGGTAAAATTCAATTACAAATAATATGATCCCAATCTTCGGGGTGAAATACCGAGAAGAAACATCAGAGAGTACATAAAAACAGCGATATGCAAAAATCAGTTTCAGTTTCAAATGGGAAAACGTAGATAAATCCTCATAAACATGGATTCACAGAGAAAACTCTATGATCTTAGTACAGAACTTCTCAAAATATTGAATAAACAAGGCAAAAGCTCGTGACTGATGCTTAAAATACACCGACAGTAGTGTTTTATGCGAAGCCATGTCAAAACAGTATAACTCTCATAAATTTATAGTTCTGGTTGGAAAGAAGTAAAACCACACAAAGTCGGTTAATTATTTAAAAACATCGATATCTTTATTACAAGATGCAAATCAATTGGAAAATAAGCACAACAAAGAAGCCCACTACAGAAACAGAAAGCTCAAATAGCATAATCTCTAAATATTTTCACAGCCGATCTTCTTCTAAGGTTTATAAATGTACCAAAATTTCTTAATTTTTCGAAAAAAGGCAACAATGTCATAAAATTTCGGAGCAATCAAACATCTATATTTTCAAATGAAGAAAAATAAAACTGATCACCGCATGTGCAAGACCACAATCAACTGAACACAAATTAGATTATCAAATTAACATGATCCGAACAAATTTCTTCAAAAATTTAGCATCAAAAGGGAAAAACATCCTGAAACTCACCTTTGATTGATCCGACTTCAATTGAGAAGTAGCCCTTCGAGAGATCGAACCATAAGAACAAAAACACTGAAAAATCCGCCCAAAATGGAGCGAAAACAGAGAAAAACCGCCAAACTAAAACGAAAGAGAAACACAAAACCCTAAACAACGAAGAGCATTCCGAAGAATGCCTTCGTATGTGGAGCAGCAAATTGTCACTGCAAATGCTCGCTCATCAGAATGTAGGTTCCAACTTTAGAGCTCGACGCATTATATACTCAGCAGGTGTTAAACATCGAGCAAGTACCACTATGAAATCCGAATGGGGTATGGACACGTGTCAACTCAGAGCTTTCGTCCGTCCATCCTCACGCGGGGGATACTTTCCCTGGGGTGTTAATCATGTTGTGTTAGGAGAAGTAACACGAGTGTGGACCCCACGTCATATATTCACGAAATGACCCCGTCCTTGCCTGCAAATGACAAAATGAAACCTGAATGACGTTTGCAATCCAGATTCGTGTTCGGCATTAGTGAAACTGACGAAATGACCCTCAATGATGACGGCGAGAACCCACAATCGTGCTCGGAAACCCAATCACCTCTCCAAATGATAACCGGAACCCGACTTTCTACGAAACCCTCTTCCTCGGACCCAACAAATCTTAAACCACGCTGTTATTTTTAAATTCGTCTTTTTGCACATAATCCAGGTTCGAGTGTGAAAAAGTTAATTTTTTAATACCAAAATACATTTATTTTTGTACGCAATTTTTCTCTCTAGCCTACTCACGCGCGGGGTTAGCAAGTCAATAAATCAGCTCACAATAAAATCCCAAACAAATTTTTTTTTTTTAAATAGAATAAAAAATACAGTTTGGCAATAATACTTCATATAAAGATCTCGTTAATATATCGGATTAGGCTAAAAAAATAGGATAAATTTATACTATTAGAAATTTTGAAATTTTAAAAAATAAAAATTATGTCAAAACCATCAATTACTAATTCATCTATAAAAACTTTATAATTACTAATTTAGTGGGGAGGCCTTACTCTTTTTTTTTCGCTTCTATATCATAATTTGCCCCACACTTTTGACAAGATAGTATTAGTAGGAATGAAAACCCAGCATGGTGACTAAGTGTGTAAGCTCTACTACAATGACCCAACCCTTTTCACGATATATTTCACACATATACTACTAAAATGACTTTAGGTCCCTAAGAAGCTAGTCTGGCGCTAAGGCTGCGGGACCCACGGTCGATCCATATTAAGTGTATCAATCTGGCTTCTTGTACCCAAAAAAATGGGATATGAATGTGTGCCGGACCAGCTTAAAGTCGCAAAAAATTTGGTCCGGCACCAATTATACTATACCATACCAGGTTAAGAGAGAAACTACATGAGTTATTAGACAAGACAATAGGGAGAAACTTAGATTAGAAAATGGAAAAAGTTTATATAGAGCCGAGGCTTTAAACAATCAAATTAAACCTCACCTCAAAAATTTAACAAGAAGAGGTTGTTTTGATGCTAAAAAATCCTCAAATTGATCATCTCGACATCAAGATGCACAGATATGAAAAAAAAATAGATTTCAAGTTTTGGAAATAGTATATCTTATAATGCATGTTTGGACTGTCAATTTTCAATATTTTTAAGTTTTCATAGATATGTTCGATCTACACTATTTTTAAGCTATAAATTTTATAATTAAATATGAAAATATATTTTAAGGCTATCACAAAGATTTTCAGTATTGAAACGACAATTCTCGACACTATTTAAAGATATGTTTTACTTTGATTGTTTAGAGCCTCAACTCTATACAAACCGCACCCTTAAAAAAATCGAGGTATTTTGCTTAAAAAATTAACTTTTTAACTTGGTAGGTGGGTGAAAAAAAAACGATCTTGATCATTTTTTTTTTGAGTAATTTAATGGGAATGACGAGTCTTGTTAAGTGACAATGGAAACCTAGATTTTAGCTGACGCTCAAGTAGTGCTACCACCAAGACCCAATCCCATTCTCCACTTTTGAAATTTAACAGTGCCATTAACACTGTGAGAAAATACCTAGAAAGTCGGGTCAAATAGGGCATCTATAATTTGGGAAAGTTTTCTATGCTCTCCCTACAACATAGAAGTTCTATCCTCCCCCTACCATCCAACCATCCATTTTTTATCAAAAGAGCCACTCACCGTTTGATCTTAGATCCGACGTCTCCAAGTATTTTATTTTTAATTTTTTTAATATAAATTTTCTTAATATGAAATTTGGTACGTGCCATCTTCTCATTGGGGTGCACCTATAAAAAATATTAACAATAATTATTCGATAAAGACTTCTTGAAATTTTTGGGGTATTTTGGTCATTTTATATTATTAAAAATAATTTTTTTATATTTTTCGTTGGTGCGAGTTTAATAAAAGAATAGACATCCAAAATTTGGTATGAAAATAATTTATAGAAAAAAAATTTAAAACTAAAATAATGTAAATACATGACATTGTGATTGGGACAATCCTAACTCTCCATTAAAAAATGGACACTTAGGTAAAAGGAGTGCTCTAGGGAAAGCTTTCCCCTATAATTTTCCCTTCGGAAAACTGCTCGATATTTGGCCACGCTTTTCCGGCGCCAAACTCGTTTTGAAATGAGCAAAAAGGACAGTTAATTTTGGCACATTTTTTCTTGGGTATGGTTTTGGCACATGAGCAAGGAATCTATGCTCACAAAGCGAATGGCTGTCCAACTAATGGATCAACGACGTTGAGAGAGTGGGACCCACAACTTGGGTTATTTCCCAGTTTTGGTGTGTCCCATTTTCTCCAATCACCATTAATCCTTTGATTTAGTGGTGATGATACCTATGACTATAGATTTATTTTCTTTGCTCTTATGAACCATCTTTGCACATTGCCTATCGTTGTTACTTTTTTTTTTAACACACTCGTTCTCTCTGCCTCATTATTATTATTATTATTATTGTTATTATTTTTTGACAAGGCGTAACATTTTTGTTCCATCAACAAAAGACAAAAACACTATAAAATCGTTTTACGACACTAGCCTAGCTTCGTCCTGTAAAAAGTTACAAAGACCATTCACTAAAGGAAAATTATTTCATACGGGGTGGAACGCATTTCTCCATATGCGGTCCATAAAGTGTAAAGCATCTATTTTAAAGATGGATGCAAGTAGGTCCATAAAGTGTAAGGCATCTATTTTAAAGATGGATGCAAGTAGGTGTTCCATTTAAAAACAATGAAAACTAACGGTCCAAATGTTTTCTTACTAGAATTATTATTTTTAATTTTTATAATTTATTTATTTTTTCATATTCATGATCTCCATATTAGATATTGCATGTCCTTATTAAGTTTTAAAATCCATTTCAAAATTAAATTTATTAAGAGGCCTGCAGTTCTACATATGTTGGCTTGGACGCATAGAAACCAGGTCTGTTACAACAATATACATAAGTGTACACCACCAGTTACAATTTACAAAGAATTACAACACTTTTTAGAACAATTACAAACTCTCAGGCCACCAAATTATTACTTGATTTCTAATCCTTCTTAGCCAACCGATCAGCGTCTGTATTCCTTTTCCCATGCACATGCTCAAAACAAATTTCCCTTCTCCTACACTGTCCCTTAATCCTCTTTTCTTTTTTTTTTCTCTTTTTTTTTTGACAAATAACACTGTCTCTTAATCCTCTTTTTTTTTTTGTTCTTTTTGACAAATAACATATTCCCGTAATCCTCTCAAATCAATCTCATGGCGCCTCCATTTTATTTTTACACCACTTTGTCACATTTAAAAAATCACCCTCCACTATGTTACTCAGCTTAAATTTGCTATTTTTATTCCCATCACCACTAACCTCAATTCGGCTTCATCTGCCACAACTATTCCAATTGGGCTACTATATGTTTTGATATTCTCCCATCGGAATCCCTTGTCGTCCCTTTAATTCTTGCTGGTCTAGGATTCTTGAAAGAACTTTCATAAAAAAAAATTAGCTTTTATATGTATCCCTCTTTTGTTGGCTCAAATCATTTGCCACTTTGTATTACCCTTGCTTTCCTTGTAATTATGAAAAATTTTTAGCCTACTAACACATGAACATCGATCCTTTGTTTTTTTGGGTAATTAAGTGGGGAAGACATGCCTCTACTCATTTGTTTTAAGTAAATTAAGAGTTAGTTTTTTTAATGTATAAGTGGGGTGATATTAGTGGTGGGAATGAAAACCACAACGTAGTAATTAGAGTATGGGGGTGCTACCACCACAACTCAAACCTCTTTCCTATGATCATCTATCTTTAAGATGGACGTTGTGCAAAGAGCAACAGACCAAAATCATATATCAACAATATAGAAAGAATTCCAAAAATTCGTTTCTTATTTTAAAATTTTTTTACTTTTCATATTCATAATCACCTTCACCTAGATCGTGAATCCCTAAAATTTTAAATAAAAAGTCCACCTTTAACATAGATTTCAAGGAGGGACGCATGTGTATATATGCATTGGCTCACCCCCATCCGTTAACCATTACACCAGTGTTTCAAAATCACCGATCCAATCCGAAATCGGGCGATCCGGATCGGGTATCGGTTATAACCGATCCAAATGCAGTATCGGTAAAACCGGGCGGTTCCTACTTTTTAATTTTTCAATTCGGTTTTTTTATGAACTCACCCTGGTTTTTTTGAAATGTGATTTATGCCACTATACTCCCCCTGCGTGATTGACAAATTTTTGCCACCTTGCTCTCCACTTTACTCCCCCCACGTGATTGACAAGTTTTTGGCACTTTGCTGTCACAACCCAAGAATTTACAATACTGATATTCCTGAGATGTGACAGTCAAAACATATATACATCTCTTGATAGGACAAATTTACACTGACGAATTCTTACAAAGTAACAAAAAAAAAGCTTAGACACAACTACAATATCTTCCAAAGTTGCCCTTGACGAGTACTCAAAATGAAGCCGCAGTTATCCTGAAAAATGTTTACCATAGTTTGATGAGTTTGGTTACTCAGTAAGTGATCATCATAATCCTAAAAATAATCATGGTTGAAAGATATCAATATTTTCCAAAATGAGATCTATTAACAGAAATGCATCAACAGTTTCACTTT